TATTGGAAATTAATTTGCATTATGTTTGATTAGCTGTCGGTAAAAGTTACACGTGAATTATTGGCCTATATATTTTAATGTTTAGTATACATGTTTGAGAAAAATATTTAAAATATTTTTAAAATTTTTTTTTGGTCAAAACGCAATGTGCTTTACTACACTTTAAACAAAATTAGTGATAAAGCTAACCAAAAACTAAAAAGCAAAACATCCGACACATTTAAAATAACAAGCTACCAAAACTTATTAGAAAAAAATAAAAGAAAATTATATACAATATTAATCAACACAACACCACATTAAATGTACATAGTGATTAAGAGACTAAATATTTCCGTTCAAAAATCGGTATTCAATGGTCATTATGTTGTTTTTAAAGTAAAGTGTATTAGTTTGACGAAGAAAATTGTATACATTTCCATGCGTACGTCTTGATACGTAGATTTATAGAATCCGAATCTAAATCCAGATGTGGTTCTATCCCTATCCCTATCCCTATCCCTATCCCTATCCCTATCCCTATCCCTATCCCTATCCCTATCCCTTTCCCTTTCCCTATCCTTATCCTTATCCTCATCCTTATCCTTATCCCTATCCCTATCCCTATCCCTATCCCTATCCCTATCTCTATCCCTATCCCTTTCCCCATCCCCATCCCCATCCCTTTCCCTTTCCCCTTTCCCCTTTCCCTAGCCCTAGCCCTAGCCCTAGCCCTAGCCCTAGCCCTAGCCTTAGCCCTAGCCTTAGCCCTAGCCCTAGCCCTAGCCCTAGCCCTAGCCCTAGCCCTAGCCCTAGCCCTAGCCCTAGCCCTAGCCCTAGCCCTAGCCCTAGCCCTAGCCCTAGCCCTAGCCCTAGCCCTAGCCCTAGCCCTAGCCCTAGCCCTAGCCCTAGCCCTAGCCCTAGCCCTAGCCCTAGCCCTAGCCCTAGCCCTAGCCCTAGCCTTAGCCCTAGCCCTAGCCCTAGCCCTAGCCCTAGCCCTAGCCCTAGCCCTAGCCCTAGCCCTAGCCCTAGCCCTAGCCCTAGCCCTAGCCCTAGCCCTAGCCCTAGCCCTAGCCCTAGCCCTAGCCCTAGCCCTAGCCCTAGCCCTAGCACTAGCACTAGCACTAGCACTAGCACTAGCACTAGCACTAGCACTAGCCCTAGCCCGAACCCAATATAAACAGACAGGGAGACGGAGAGAGAAAGAACGAAAATAATCCGTAACCAACCTATCATAAATTCCTGCTTATTTTACTCTGTTAATGAATTTTTTGTTAACTGTCAACAATGAAACATCAAAGAGCAGACAGCTTGTAGTGGTAACAAAAGTACAATGGCATTAACCCGTTGAATTATTCAAAGTCGAGATTAAATATTTATAAAAGCACTATTGTTTTGATATATGATGATATTTACATTTTTTGTGCCACGTGCGTAGAAGCAAAACAATAGTTTTTTTTTCTTTCTACAAATAATGAGGAAATTAACAGACTTGGCGTAAATTATAGACAAAATGTCCAAAAAAAAAAACCCGGTAACAATATTAGGCACGGAGACCTCTTTTTACTTTCTCATATATACGAAGTATAGAGAAAGTCTTGTAATCGTGCAAAAAAAAAAATCGAGATTTTTGCAAATCTCGACGTTTTACATCTCACTGATACGGAAAAACATAATTTTACAATCTTGTCCGTATGTCTGTGTGTGTGTGTGTGTGTCCATGTGTAAACACGATAACTTGAGTACCGTTAAAGATAGGTTGATGAAATTTCATATATAAGTATTTTATCAAAATCGTAGATCCGTATCAACTTTTGAGCGATTTCCGATAACCGGAAGTGGTACTTTTTCTACTTTGAATTTTTCAAAAGTTTATAACTTGAGTACTATTTCAGATAGATGAATGAAATTTGACATGTAAGTTAAAGATCTAATTCTCTACCTTTTGTCAAATTTTGAATAATTTCCGTTGACCGGAAGTACTTATTTACGCTATTTCCGATTTCTCAAAAAACGCATGCAAATTTATAAAGTACTAATAATATTGCGCACTATTATGCACATCTTTATTTAGCGTTTCTTTTTTCTACGAGATTATATTCCATTTTAAAAAAATTGAGTAATTAAAATGGATTAAAAATCATGTCTAGACGTCTATATCCCGAGTAGCCATCCCCCATAGTGTTATATTAGAATATTCGAGAAAGTTTAGGGGAGATCACATAATAACAACATTTTAATCAAATTAATTGAATAGTAAAGACATAGCTGTAGCATAGCATTGAAAATTTTGGAATAAAGAAATAATTAATACTAATTAATAATAAAAAAAAATTAATTAAGTGAGGTTGTGATATATTATCAATCCTAAGCATTTGTAACTGTAACGTGTTCGATGTTTCTATTCTCTATAGTAATGCGTAATGAGATGGATGGAAGACGAAGGCGTTTCTGATTAGTAGTAATGAGCATACAATTAGTTTAATCGGGGGAAAGTTTCATGTCAGGTTGTTCAATTTTGTCTAAATAACAAGCTGATTGGCAAATGTTTGAAGTGTATACGATGTAGAGTGCAAAGACATGTAACAAAGTATCATCGGCGAACATCTCGCATTAACCTGCGTCGATGTGCAATGCAAGATCATTTGTGTATAATGAAAAAAGTAAAGAGCCTAAAGATGAGCTCTAGACTTACTTACTTGACTTAGTCCTCTTTGCTTCTTATGGAGCATAGGGCCTCCACCATTTCCTTCCATTTTTTCCTATCCTCGGCTATTAATTTTGTCATCTCCCAAGACATCCCTGTTGGCTTCAGCTCTTCAAGAAGACTCCGCCTCCAGGTCTGTTTTGGGCGCCCTCTCTTCCGCTTTCCCTGGGGGTTCCAATCAAGCGCTTGGCGTGTAACATTTGTGTGAGCCTTTCGCAGTGTGTGACCCACCCAGCGCCACTTCCTCCTTCTTATTTGCACACCCATAGGCTCCTGCCTAGCTTTCCTCCATAGTTCCAAGTTCGGCACTTTGTCCTGCCATCTCAGTTTCAGTATCTGTCTAAGGCATCTATTCATAAAGGTCTGTATCTTTGCTGTGCTTGCCTTGGAGACTCTCCATGTCTCTGCTCCATACAGCAGAACTGCCTTGACATTAGAGTTAAATATCCTAATTTTTGTGGTAATGGAGATGGCCGAACTTTTCCATATGGGTCGCAGCATTGTGAAAGCGCAGCGGGCTCTATTAACTCTAGCGCGTGTGTCCTCCTCTGTGCCTCCCGTTTTGCTGATCTTGCTGCCAAGGTAGACAAACTCTTCCACATCATTTACCTGGCTTCCGTCTATTGTCACTGGAGCCTCCTGTTTATTGTTAATTCTCATCACTTCCGTCTTTTCTTTGTTGATCTTCAGACCTACGCGCTGCGAGATGGCTCCTAATGCATCAACTTTTTCTTGCATGTACTGTAGCCTGTGCGAGAGTAAGGCAAGATCATCTGCAAACTCAAAGATGAGCTCTAGAGAACCTCTTTATTAACACACTGGACGTCGGTATTCGTTACAAGTGAATTATAGGCCTATATATATATATATATATATATATATATATATATATATATATATATATATATATATATATATATTTTACCTGTATACTTATTTTGAAAAAAAAAATGTAAAATAGTTATTCGTCAAAACGCTATGCGCTATGCTACACGTTGAGCGATATTAGTGACAAAGCAAAGAAAAAATAAATAAATAGCTAAAAAATCCGAAACATTTAAAACGACATAAGCTACCAACACCTATTAGAAAAAAATTAAAACCAAATTATATACATTATAAGGTCAACACAAAACACATTAATGGCACATAATGATGACGATATTTAAATGATTACTGTCTACTATCTTTAACTTTTTTTTAAAATTTAAAAATACCTACAGTTTATATTAAAAGAAGCAATTATAGCAAAGCAATCGATTGTGACCGGTAAAAAAAAAGATTGATGGCATAAAAAGTATCAACAAAAAATAATTTTTATGGATCATCAACAAAAAAAAAACATCTTAAAGTTTGTAAAATTAAAATTAATAACAAATAAACATAATGTTGTTTTAAACATAATTTTTGAGATAATTATTTTAATGTTTTGTGATGCTAAAATAAATGTATTTCCTACAAAAATTGTTTTTTTAATTCGTAATCACAAAAATTATCTTGAATTTTGAAAAGCTAATATTAACAATTCACCTACATTTCCGTTTATTGACACTAAACCTACTCCACCACGACAGTAGTCGAGTAAACACGACATGTGTTGCAAATACTTTAAACTACATCAGCACTTTTAATTAGCCGGCTAGAAAAAATATATTTTATGTAGAAGTTTACAAAGGCAAATATAATCTCGAATCCAATATGATTAATCCCTGTTTAACATACATTAATATACGAATGGGATTAAGATAATACTTCAGTGAGCTCCTATCTTTGAACTTTTAGTCACCAACGTAGTGGCGTCACTCATAGTATACTTTGGTACATAGCTTAACATAAGTACGTGTGTATATAAAAATTAGTTACACCAGCTATTTCAAATAGTGAACGTGGGTGTTAGTTTACTGAAAGGAAAACCAAGAAAGGGACGCAGTTCTTTGCAAGCGAAACTCTACAAAGGAAAACCAAAGCAAATATTTGACAACTCAGGCTTAAAGTCCACATAGTAAGCTATAGAATTCAGATATTTGTTCATGTTTTAATTAATAGACTTTAAGTAAACTTGGTTTTAATCGTATCATACGGTGGAAACCATGAATCACGTTCTATTATATGATTACATTGTTGATTGTACATTAAGAACTGTTGGGTATTTATCTACATATGTTTATATGAATATATATATATATATATATATATATATATATATATATATATATATATATATATATATGTATATATATATATATATATATATATATATATATATATATATATATATATATATATGCTTGTATTTCCATCAGCATAAATCATCATGAGCCGGAACAAGTCTCAGCAACTAGTACAGGAGATGTACAAGAACTTAATTGAGAACATGGCTATGGACGCGAGATTAAATGATGAGTTTATGCCGCCCTACGCTGCTGAGATCCTGGCAAAGATCAGTCCACGCTCTAGGAAAACGTAAGGAGATCTTACAGCAATGTTTAGTAAAATTATTTTTAGAATAACGTGTTTATACTTGGAACATGCATGAGGGTCTTAGCCTTCTAATATGTATACAAGATATGTTTAAGTTACATTGAACATCCGAGTTGCTGGGCACAAAATCATATCCTTTTTTACAAGCTTTTATTTAACTCACTTCCTCGACAGTCTGTCTGTCTGTCTAGACGGAAACGCAGGAGTGAAAATTCGGATAGTTCTACTTGACTGATACGATTCACAGTTGGCACGTGGGTCAAGACATGAAGACAATGCAATCTGAAACTAAATTTGACTTAATTGGATGCCTAATTAATTTTTTATGAATTAATAAAAATTTGGACCGAATTAGTAGGCATGTCTAGCCAACCACACCACACGCGTCATCACCTTCAATAACTGCGCCATCACGTAATGGCTGCGTTCAAAAACCATTGCGCGCCTACTGAACGTGATGTTCAGTAGGCGCGCAATGGTTTTTAGTCATGTAACTCTATTGTAAATAAAACATGTAAAGTACTGAAAAAAAAATTCATTAAAAAACGTTTTAATAACAAGCTTTTATGTAATGATGCACTAAAAAGTAGAAAATAAATTATAGACTACTATTTAAATAACTATAAAGAAAAGCGTGGGTGTCTTCCTTAACATTAGTAAAGGTATCCAATAGATACTAAAGTGACCCACGCTTTTCTTTATAGTTATTTAAATAGTAGTCTATAATTTATTTTCTACTTTTTAGTGCATCATTACATAAAAGCTTGTTATTAAAACGTTTTTTATGATTTTTTTTTATCATCTAAACACCGGGTTTTTGTTATCACTGAGAGAAAACATTAGACATGTTCTGTATTTTAGCCGACGTATTCGTAAAAGTGTAAGAATCTCCGATACCTCACTTAGCTCATTAACAATGAGAGTAAAATATATAAAATTTGGTTCAAACCTTATATCATTTTAAAATCGTTACATGTATATTAAATATAATACATTTTACAGAATATCATTATCATGTATTTAACACCAGTGCGTTTTTTTTTTCTTTTTACAAAAATTGAGTAAGTTAGCCAGGTCATGTTGAGAGATTGCTGCCCTTTGCCTCTCTCAGATTCAAAAGTTATAGATGATGATTTATTGATGCAACGAGTAGGCCTGTATGACAAATTATAAAAACAATCCTACATGTCAAACGTGTAAACACGCTGATACAGAACATCTTAAGTGCTAAAATAATTCAATTTAAAATGTTTATAACATATGTTTTTAAAATAAAATCTCCAGGTATGATGGTTCAGCTATTTTCATCCCCGATGCCATCGAGGGCGCCCGTGTGCTGGACATTGGCTGTGGAGGTGGAAGTCTGTCTTTTGTTTTGTCCAAGCTCGTTGGTCCAGCTGGATACGTTGTTGGAGTTGACCTGTCTGAAAAATTCGTAAAGATGTGTTTAATATTATAGCTTAAGTAAACCCACACTCACGAACACTCACAACACACACACACACACACGCGTTCACACGTACAGACATGTAGACACAAACACACACATTAACGGAGTACACATTATGCCACCAACACACAGATCCAACTGTGCCAAGAAGAGACAGCCTACCACATGCAAGAATGGGGCTACAGTAAACCCAACTGTGAGTTTATATGCTCGGATGTCGAGAGGTTATTGGACCTTCAACTTGAGCCATTTGATGTTATTGTGTAAGTAGCCTACAAATATCATGAATATTAAGATTGTTATACAAAGACACGTATTTGTATGGGTCGTTGATTAACCTGAGGCTTTATTATGTGGCGATGACGGTTTTGACGTGTTTGTCGATGGGGAGGCGGAGTCTAACTTATGACATATATATATATATATATATATATATATATATATATATATATATATATATATATATATATATATATATATATTATGTATATATAATTTCATCTATAGTTCTAACGGGCTGATGTGTTTAATTAACAACAAGGAAAAAGTAATTCAGGTGTTATCCCGTTTGTTGAAGGTAAATTTAACAACCGATTTTACTAGTTGTTTTTTAATATATTTTAAATTTAAATTCCAAAGTAGTTTACTAAAAATAATAATAACACTAACATTTGTATCAGCCATGTTATCGTAATATACAATGAGTAAAAATGTTGCAATAGGAAGGTGGAGAATTCTACAACAGTGATATCTTCTCTGATGTTGAACAATGTGAAGAGGTCAAAGCGACTCCACTTTTTTGTTGTAAGTAAATAGCAGTTGAGTTTTAAAAACTAATTGCATCTATTTTGACAATGGGAGGGTGTTGGTAAGGGTGAGGATAGCACTTTGCGTTATTAATATGTATGTTTTATTTTTAAACGACTGCCTGCAATCTACCTACATATTAAGCATTGCTTTTTACCTTTCATATATTGTCTATGTGTCTTAGATAATTACCATTCATTATAATCCCGCACATCCTAATCTCATTATCTGCCACCAAACAATAATCTCATTACAAACCTTTTCATTATTATGACATTATTCTCCGGCAGATATTATCTTATTATGAGCCCGCATATATCTAAATATCAACATAAACCTGTACGTTATAATCTAATTTTAAACCCTCACATCATAATCTCATTATATTCAAGTTCATGCTGATCTCATTGTAAACCTACTTATCTTAATCTAATTACCCATCCTAATCACCGTATCAACCTGCATACAATGTAAATAAATCTCAGTGATTAAAATTCCTTATCAACCTGAATACAATGTAAATAAATCTGTTATTAAATTTCCTTATCAACCTGCACGTTCCTATCTCAGGCTATGGACTCAGTGGTGCCATGGTGTGGTCTGAGCTGAAAGAGTTGACAGGACAGTTTGGGTTCTCAGACCCTTACCTGTTGTACGCCGCTGACACCTTCCAATTTGGCACCGAGAAAAACAAGCAGGATCTAAGTGGGTGACGCCCATCTATTCACTTTGACTAGTTTTAAAACATTTTCTGCAATACGAAACGATGACCTAAATTGGTCTTTTATAAACGACTTCTTTTTTTGACGATTTTTTTACCCATCATCCTCTTATTATCGTCACAAAAAACCAGACCCCGACATTCATAAAATCACGTCAAACTTAAGCCTAGCCCCCCCCCCCCCTCCCTCACACAATTGCTGTTATTTTGTTTTTTTTGTTTTTTATAACTTCGACTTGTTTCTAAAAAATTTCTGAGCTCAGTTAGCATCCAGTATATTCATTAAATGTCTAGAACAGTGTTCAAACACAGTTTTCTTTAAACTGCATAATAACTTCTAGAAGTCAGTTTAGAAAATTACATTTTAAAAGTGTGTCGCCTCTCTCTCTCGTGACACATCGTCACGACATTCCAACCCCTAGGAATGTGACGTCGTTTATGGAAGACCCAAAGGATAGCATATAGTCTCATAGAATTAACAATCTGAGTCCACCCAGCTCCGATGGGAACCTGATTTACATTGTGGATAGTGAATGTGGCTATGCATAGTGCTGGCAATACCATCCCTTCATGAGCCGAGGTAAAAAAAACATATGAACTCTACTTCAACTGCTCAATGTATCAATAGGTCGAAAGAGTAACTTTACTCGCTACTTTACTAATGGTACATAAGGATAAGAGCTTATTTTCCCTCAATGGATCACTAAGTCTAAAGAGGAAATTTACTGACTTGTGTACTAATGATACAGAAGGATGTATAGTTGATTGCATTTTATTTATTTTTTTTTTGATTGACAAAAAGCTGGGAGAAATTTGAATATAAATGTATGCATGCCATTAATATATACAGGGGGAGTCAACTATGTGTGTGCTGTGTATAGACTTGTTAAATTGGTGCCTAAAACTACTGGTCCAGCCGCCATTGTGATCTACAATGGTAAATACGAGAACAACAAGGACTTTTTCAAATGGGATGTTGATCTGACGTTCAAGGTTATTAAATTATCATTTCTTCTGTAACTGTCAAAGATAATAAATATTATAAAAAATATATATTACAATGATACTATCATTTCTAAAAATATCACAACTCATAAAGAAATTACGTTTCATTTATGAGATATTAGTTCTAAAAAAAATTAAATACATTCAACAATTATTTTTTTTTATTTTACAGAAAGATGTCCCTATAAAAATAGATGGGTATTTTGCTAGTATCTTGGCTAAAACAAAATACGCCAAATTTTTTGCAATAGAAAAATGTATAAATCATGTCACTTTAAAAAGGGTAATGAAGTTGTTTTTTTTTCTATTAAATAATCCGTAATCATTCAAAATCGTATAAATAATCAATACATTTATTTACAAAAAGTTTACGTTTTCTTTTTACAAATTAAAAATCTAATTTTAGAACCAGAATCCTTTCAATTATCTGAAAAAACTACGTGAAGGTGGTTCAGCATATCCGACACCAATTTTTCCTATGGTAAGTGTTATAGTATACTGGTAATCATGATTGTATATAAAGTGTAATTGTACAATGGTGTGATTATGTAATGGGCATTGTGATTGTATATCTGTAAAATTATGTATGTATAAAAAGATTTTATTGATAAGTTACTTTCAATGCTGCTTTAATCAGATTTCATCTCTTTCTATTTAACGTTTGGTTATAGTTCATGTTTTATGTTAGTTCTTCATATAGTTATTGATCAATATCTGTATTTATTTTAAATATTTTTATTCTGTTAGTATTTCTTCTACTTTAATGTTACAGTAAAACAATTAACATTGTAATATTTTGTAACCGTGTGTAAATGTTATACTATTACTATTCATTTTACATTAAACATTAATACACATTTAATTGTTTACTAGACTACCCGTCATCCGTTGGATAACTGTGAGTTTCGGGGGTCATCCATAAAAAAAAAACATCACATCTGTCACTCAGAGGCGAAGCAACCCTAACCCTAACCCGGGGGACAAACTTTTCGATTTAAACCCTCCCCCCGCGCAAGATTTCAATTTGAACCCCCCCCCCCCCTCAAGATTTCGATTTGCATCCCCCCCCTCCAACTTTCGATTTGCACCCCCCTCAAACTTTCAATTTATTTTTCAAACCCATTTTGGCGCGCCCTAAGGTCGGCGCCCGGGGACATATGTCCCCCCGCAATCCCCATCGCTACGCTACTGCAGTGTCACTTATCGTCATAAAAAACAGACCCCACATTCAAAAATAAGTTTTTTATCTTTTAAAAACACCGAAAACACCGATTTCGGACTATCCCTTCATATACTGACGTCACAGGTGACCTACTCAACTCTACTTCACCTGCCCAGTGTCCCGCTAAGTCTCAGACAACATGTTTTTATCGTTTAAAAAACGATTCCAGTCGAGAATGTCTCTGACCACACTATCCCTTCATATGCTTAGGACAAAGAAACAGATGAACTTTACTTCACCTACCCTGTATCCCGCCAAGTTCAGATAGGCAACTTTATCATTCACATCTAAAAAATAAAATAAAATTGAAAAAAAAATTATCATTGACGTTTGGGATCTAGAACATGTGCCACCCGCATGAGAGCCGAATACACTAACAACTTAGCTATTTACTCGTGACGTCACAGATGAATTTTTATACTATACTTTAATGATTTGAGTCTCCTTATGCAACTTGATTTACGCGCATAGATCTAGATCTAAGTCTAGTAGTGGTAACTTTCAAATTAAATTTTATCTTAAATTAGCCAAACAAAGTTTTATATACAATAAAGAAGGTCTGAAATTATCTAGATCTAGATAGAATTATCTAGATCTAGATTTTACGACTCGTTTGCTTAAGTCTAGAATCTAGTAGATCTAGATCTTGATCTAGAATCTAGACATTCTAGATCTAGAATCTAGATCTAGATAGATAAATCACAAAGATTTATATCAAGTATTTAAGGACTAAAAATGTATTATTATTATAAAATGGATTGTATTTTTATTTAGTTAATCTGTGGTATGTATCTAATTAAACTTTTGTTTGACCTAGATTCTAGATCTAGATCTATAAATAACTTGCTTGGTCACATGATATTTTTAGATCTAGATCTATAAATAACTTTCTTGCACAGATTGTAGAGCTAGAGAAATTTATTAAAAAACTAAATGAAAAAGACAGTTGAAAATTTATATAAGTATTGGAACGTAATAAGTACAGCAGACGGACGCAATGTTAAATTATGGCCGACAGAAAATTAGATTTAGAACGCGTTGAACTTTTGAATTGACCTTTGATGGAAGCCGCCAATTTATTGTACTATAAATGTAAACAAAAAAATGTGACGTCACGGTTTCGTCGATTCTAGTGGTTGTTCTAATCTGTTTTTAAAAAATGTGGTTAATCTACATATGAATAAATCAATAAATTAATTAACGTCTTTAAATAAATTTGTGGTCTGTCTGCATTAAAAAATTATTCTCTACCTACATACTATTTTACAGCTCTCCATAATGAGTAGAACTATTTACAATACTCGATCAGACAAACAAACAAAAAAATAAATATTCAAACATGTAAACAAACTTGAGTTTTAGTAGTATATAGATATCAGAGTAATTAACTTTTTTTTGTAGCAGAAAGTTCCATTTAAATTATACTTATTATAATGTTCTTATATTACAAAAACATTTTACATACATTTATTAGTAACACCTTTTTTGTTTTAGAGGATTATATTATTTTGGTTTATTTTTCAGGATGAACACCACAACAAGTTGTATGAAGATTCCATTAAAAACATTATTTAGGAAACTTGAACCCCGCACAGTTTTTCCATTAATTTTTTTAGTAAATGATTTTTTTTATCATTCTTGTTGATGCGAGATAAATGCACCAATTAAATGAACTATATTTTTTTTCTTTTCAGCGTAACATTTTAATTCGTGTTGTACAAAATTATAGTATGATAAAGTTTATTGAGTGGGACGGCGTAGCCTAGCGGTAGAGTGCTAGACTGCTTATCAGAAAGTCATGAGTTTGAATCCAGGTTGATATCAGCAGAACGTCCCTGAGTTCACGCAGCTCTGATGAATACCCAACTCATCTATGGAAAGTTAAGGCTAGGCATAAAGTTGTACTTTCATATGCCGAGATCACAGAAAACAGGTGAATTCTACTTTTCTTGCCGCATTGGCCGTCAAGTTTGAAAAGGGAACTTTACCAATGTTACTGTATTTTCTCTAAATGTAACGTAACAATGTAGTGTTCTTTATAAAATAAAATGGATGCAGATATTCTCACATATTTTTTTACGTGCTTTTGCATAACATTTTCAACACAATTAAATACTGCAACAAAAGATTCCAAACACCTCTAACAAGCACCTAACTTACGTTAGAGAAAGAAAGTGCTGACCACACTATCCCTTCAATTGCCGCGGTCACAAGATAGGTGAACTCTACTTCACTTGTCACATGAACCGTCAGGCTCGAAAAGTGAACTTGACAAATGACAAAGTTTGCATAACATTTAGTATGTTACATATTCATGATGCACTCTAAAATAGTTAATGATGTAAAAGAACTTGTCGTTATTATTTTTTTTTTAATTTTCATAGTTTTAATTTACTTTTGTCTGTATGGGCGCAATAATGTTTTAAAAATGTTAAAGATTAACACAATTATATCAAATCTAATAGAGCTGGATTGAGAATAATTTTCACCTTTGCAATAACAGACATATGCAATGATTATTGTATCTTCTGCACATGTTTACTAAACAAATCACGGAATTTGGAGTTGTATTTGAGGTAAATTAAAACATTCCCGCAACAAAATATACACTGGCACATGTGTACTAGTACATCGAGGGCCTCGTATAATCGTCCATACTTTCCGAATAGCGATAACTCTGGGAATAGTAGCAGCGGTGGATGGAGACACACCCTTGGCGTGTTGCTAACGACGTAGGCTAGACAGAGAACAAAAAGCTGCTGGGTTATTCTGATCTCTTTGCTGCTTAATTTAAATTTTCCCGGTTGTTGAGATGGACTATTTTGTTTGTTACTACGGTTTGTGTTTTTAAGTGAAGACGCTGAACCTTTGCTGGCGTGTTGTCGTCGAAATTTGAGTGCTTTTGTGAGAACAATTTTCATAGAAATGGCAGATATGAGTAAAACGAGTTGAACAAAGTTTGTTAAAAGAAGCCCTGTCATCGTCCAAATGACATCTGTCACCAAATGCCATGTAGGTGATGTCCAAAATAAAGCTCTGGTTGTATTAGTTTTAATATCAGGTTGAGGAATTATACCCATGAAGGCGAAAATAGGAACTTCAACAAAGAAGATGAATGTTGCAGTCGTTGTCATGACAACGAGTGAGACTTTTTTAGTGGCCAGCTTTTGCCGAAACCATAAGGGGGTGGCCACGCTGAGACAGCGAACGACGGCCAGAAATATGATCGTTATCATCGCGCAGTGGTAGAATTCGCTGCCCGCAAGCTCCAAGTAAAAATCTACACTGTACGGGTCCACGGGAAAGTAGGTTTTATAACCGCTCGTCACTTCAACACAGGCAAAAGCGCATGAGATCGACCCTGCTGATTCACATACAAGAAATAATAGATCACAGACAGATAGAAACAGGAACGATATGGTGACTCCGTCTTTAAGACCCATAGCGACAAATGTCCTGATCGTCATAGCGTTTCCTATGATTCCTACAAGGGCGATAACTCCACGACAAAGGCAGATAACTAAGCTGACTAGAGTTACGTTATCCTGCATTGAAATCGCTGGAGCGAGTAACGAGTCCATTATTCCAGACATGATTGTCTCTCTACAGCGTCTGAACGTTTATGCGAACCTGAGGTTATAAATTTAAGTAATGTCTTTGTTGCAGAACAAATTTCCCAACAATTATATGTTTTTCTGTGAAAAAAAAGTACAGTCAGTTTAAAAACTGTTACTGAAGTATAACTACGACATGCCAACTACGACTGATAAACTGTTAAAACAAAAAAAAAAATACCTTGTCGTTGTTAAAATAATTTACATTTGTCTACTAAAAAAAAGTTGCATGATTTTTCTAGTTTAGGCATGCCAAATTTGTGCGAGCGAAAATTCACAAAGAAATTGATTGTCGTCTTAAGTACCAATATCGTAATATGCTTCTTCGAGGAGTTTTTATTTTAGATCGATTTTACCGGCTCGTTCGGCAATTTGAACATAATTTTCTTTAGGTGTTTATCAAATTATTTACAGATAAACAGTTATATCTACACGATTTAATTCAATTTATACCACTATTAATCTAAACTTAAATTTATATTAAAACACAAGTGAACAATTTTACAAAACGATATATTTATGTAAATAAAACATATTTTCTGCTTTTATTTTAATTTGGTTTCACACGCAAAATACTAAAATATAAATTTACGTAATGGTTTTTAATAGTGGCGGTACTTTGTACATAATTATGCACAATACTTACAAATTTGATAGAAAATCTTGTTTTACCTTTATCTATCAAAATAAAAGTCCATGATGTTGAGCTTTTTATAGACAACTATTTCCGAGTTGCCAGAGATGATTGTTGTTTTCAATTTAAAAAAAAATTAACAACGTCATGCCTATTTTGTTGCAATTTATATCAATCAAGTCCCGTCAAACACTAAAGTTGTTGTACTGGTTGTATTATTATGACAGTGGCGGTAGAAAATCGATTATATGTAATCGTCGAACGTTTTATTTGATTGCCTTACATGTAATTGTGAGCAAACAGACTGGTGAAGTACGTGGGGAAAAAACGTGTTTGTAATGTGGTATAGAGATGTACACAAACTTGGATGTTGTAGAACTGACATAACACATTGGCTGCCGTCTCGGGTTTGCAAATTGTAGCAACATACTTTGATGTTGTAAAGTAAATAAACATTAAAGGTCTAGCACTTCTTCGACTGGGCATTTTATTGTATCAATTTAATTTTTAATAAAAAAATTCCTTTTCGGTCCAAGTGTCCTACAGGCTAGGTGAGGTGAAGTCAGCCTATGAAGAGATAGTGTCGTAAGAATTTTACTTTGTTTGCCGAAAGTCAGGTACCCATCAGTTTTGGGTGGACACTGGGACATGCTACGACTCTAATCAAGGACCCGAACGCCATACTTTCGGAAAAATAGTCGATCGCTCTACAATTCGACCATGAGTTACATAGTTTAGCTTATACAGTTCACAAAATACCCATTGTAATAAATAGATCAATACGTCCAAGTTTAGTAGTTTAGAACAAAAGTTCGCAGATGACGTTAAGTGTAAAGTATTTCTCTTGCAATTACTTAAGAATTCTCGCCATTACACTAGGAATTATAAATTAAACATAGTTTGTAATTAAATAGTTAGATTCCATTTTAGACCTAGAGATCCATCGAGTAGATGATGAAGAGCTCGTTACTTTCTTGACCTTGGCTTATTGATGGATTCAGGGAAGTTACTCTGACTTAAACCCGAGTTCAAACTCCTATTAATAGCAGTGTTATATAACACCAGAGCTGGACTGGCTAACCCTTAAGTCTCGAGTTCGAATCCTGGTTCAAGTCAGCAGAACATCCTTGAGTCCTCCCAGCTATGATGGGTACCTAACTTAGGTTAGGGTAGGTAAAGGTATAGTTCTGACTACTATTCATATGCCGAGGTCAAAGAAACAAGTGAACTCGTGAACCGTATACGGTCAGGTTTGGAAGGGACGTTACTTAGTACTTACAACATTATCGTGTCTATACAGCAGTCTAGCGCTCTCAGCTAGGCCACGCCGTCTCGTGATTGATGAATGAGTCACCGCATCAACATCAGGCACATAGCAGAACATTTATGTTTAGACGCCTGTAGATTACTACAGGTAGTAAACTCAATATAAAACACTTTGTCATTAGCTGGAAACAGTGTTTCTTCCAGACTTTTTCTTCGGGGGGTCACTAGATATTTTCGGGAAGTAGGAGAGGGGGGCGGTCTAAAGTTGCCGTGGGAGGGGTGGACACTGATAAAGGTATTGTTCTCTATATAAATCCGCATTCGTTCGTGGGCTGGATTGGGGCAAAAAACATCCCCCCTCCTTAAGAGATGCCTCGAAGAAACCCTGACTGGAAACAACCAATATAGATCACACATTTTTTATAAAAATGAAACAATGACAGTAAAATTGTTGGAATTATCTCTCAAACTGTCATTTATGTTACTTATAGTTTGATTTATTTTCATATAAGTTAATCTTTTTAACGACAAAAAAAAAACGATATTTTTTGTGTGTGTTTTACGACACTACAAAAGTTACATAATGTTCATATACTGTTATATATATACCAATAAGAAAACAAAAAGAAGTTTAATCATGATTAAATTTTGCAGCATAGAATCATTTGTATAGTGTCTGTTTCGTCACAAAAACCAACTAAAATTCCAGGCAAATACCAGACAAACACCCAATGATATGTGTAGTATTTTAAATTGAACTTATCTGTTTGTGATTGTTGATTATTTGCAATACACATAAATACACATAAATTGTAACCTTATAATCCAGAAAAAAAGTAAATAATACAATCTATATTATATAACCATTTATTTATTTGCCTGCGTAATTTGTTTTGAATACAAATTGAATATTTCGACGAAATGCTAGTATTGCTTTTAAAAGCGCTTATGTTTAACAGCTATTTCTCATTCTCATCTCCCCTGGCTGAAGTCCTTACGCAGTCATAAATGCCCATGAATTTCTTGTACTTTCTGTAAATTTTTCTTCACCCACATCATCTGCTATAAAATTAAAAAAAAAAACAACACTGTTTATTATAAAAAAATAATTTTAAATTATTAAAAATAAAAATTTAAAACCGTGGTAGCTAAAGTGAATTGTTAAAAAGTTACCACACAATAATGTTATTGTTACCTGATTTTCTGTTGATGCAGTAGCAGAATACAGCGATCAGAAATATAAGGATCAGTGCGCCACATATGCCAATTGTGATTACAATCAGATATATCATTGAAGCGTGAAAGTGTGCTAGTTGAATAAAATTTATTATTAACCAAAAGTTAGTTTTATATTAAAATTTTCTTAAAGAAACGAATAAAGTGTTTAAACAAGAATTCAAAATTATATACACTTCTTGAAAATGTAATAATATATTTTAATAATTTAAATTGTTTTTTTAGCTAATGCAAACAAGTTATATTGTCACTTTTAAAATGCGCACTATAATGTACTATCAATGATTTAACCATTGAATCTATAGAGACACATACGTTACGTTACATCAATAGTAATGTTTTATGTTAACCACAAAAATAAATCTTTTTATGTTACACTGATCACAAAAAAAAATGTTGAAGTAAAAACTCACTTTGTTTGCTGTCAAAACTTTTCTGACAAATAAATCTCATCTTGGCTTGAGCATGGTGTGTTGTCCAACCGACTGTTGTCATGGCAACCGTTTCATTAAAGCCGGTTCTTGTAGAATTCCACCCAAAATACAACGGTGTCTTGAGTACAAAATGTTAAAACTTATTTCATTTAGTTGCACAACACCTACATGTACAATTGATAAACTAAAATTGTATATTTCTTGTCACAGCTAAGGCTAATGCTAAAATTAGACCGACAAATATAATATGTTAAAAACAGATGTTGTTTCTTATGTTTGTTTTCATATTTAACTTATATTTTAAAGTACACAACAATAAAATTTTAATATTAATAGAAAACATTAAATAAACAAGTTTTGTAATTTTGTTAAAGCATAAAATACGGACTAAAACGTTTGAATAATACAAAAATAATTAACCTAAATAGAATACTTGTAATACTGACATTATTATAAAAACTAATATTTGTGAATGCAACTAAAATAAGGAAAACATTACAACCTGTAATGAGCCAACAAATTGAAACGACTCGGACATGTTGCGATACAACCCGATAAAAGCATCTGAGTTGGGTTTCAGAACATGTCCTGTAATGATTTCTTTGTACAAATGCCAGTATTATAATGGTAAATGAAAAGTAATTGATAATTTATTAATCAATGCTGCGAGTAATATAGGTAAGTATAGTTGTTACGTTAAAGTCTATATATAACATCATGTGTTATAAATAATCATATAAAAAAATAAAGAAAGATATTAGTTTAATCACAATGTAGTTTTCAAAATGTTCAGTTAAAAATCAAAATCGTAACTAAATACAAAAAATGTCTTACTATTGCAACATTTTTAACGCTTAATTAATTTTAAAAAAGAACAACTAAATTACGCTTGATGAAGTCGTCCATGTCTTGATCGAAGATTTCAACCAGCCTCCCTCTGCTCAGTGTTGGACCAATAAAACTATTCTTACAAAACTCTTCTGCCTCTGTAAATGTATTCTTTGGAAACAACTTGAGGCAAGTGTTGGACTTGTGGTGGTAAGAACTATTCTTGCAGCCATCTGTATTAAAAGTGAATTCATTGCTCTACATACAACAATAAACTTAGCATTTTATGTTTAGATTACGTTTGAGCTTAAATTTAAAATGTGAAGAAAAAAAATAAAACATTGTGAACTTTGGAGCAATATTTTCCCCCTTCCACTCCCCATTCACTCCTCTAAATAAATTTTGTAAAATTTCTATACAATGTCTAAGTGTGCCCCGCCACTCCACTCCACCTTTAGGCCTCTAAATCAATTTTGTAAAATTCCTATAGAATGTATAAGTGTACCCCAAGGAATTCTTAAATTCCTCCCCCCCCCCCCCCCGTGGTGTGCACAAATTTAGACAATTTGTTTTATTTATGCTAAATTCACCACTCACACAGACTGTACATCTGGTTGTCCACCAGTCCAAACATCTGCTTCTCGTTTCTTGTTAAATTCTTAAATGTTTTGGATGTTGGGTTCTTGTTAGAACATTTGGTCTGTTTAAGTACAAAATATATAAATTGGTTACATTCTCAAATGTTTTGGACATTGGGATTTAAAGAGCATATTTGGTCTGTTCAAATACAAAATATATATTTTAATTGGTTATAATAGTTTTTGGAAAACTCAATTTAAAATTTAAAAAAAAAAACAATAATTTCATATATGGTGGTAAAACAGTTATATTCATTGTAATCATTGTGCAATTCTTTCTTTTTATGGCTAAAATTTTTTACAGGAACTCCCCAGAATCTAAAAACACTTTGTATTACACATTTTAGTAAATAATAATTAAGTAATAATGCTAATTTATTAATGTGAGACTTAAACAGCCAAGTCATATGTTGTATTTTTTATCCTTACCCTTGTAAAAACACAAAATACCAAGTAGTATTCAAAAGTGTTACATAAGATATAATGTGTAACTCTAAGGAGCAAGTAAATACTTTGAAAAAAAAACTATTTTAAACAATATATTTAATGTGTGTATTACTGTGCTCTATTGTATGACGTGTGCAATACATGGGAAAACTTTTAAACAAATTGTAGATCTTTATTATGTAATCGATTCTGGTATTATGCGTTTACTGTCTGACTGAAAACGATTACACTTACAGCATTTACCGTCCAGTATCGTGGTGAAATAAAACTAGTTTGGCAGACGCCGTTCACTTGTTGCAGGCCCATATATGGGAAGCAGGGGTCGTCTGTGTGGTTTGTGGTGGAAACGTCTAGAAACAAACATTTTTTTCATTATAAATGTTGTCTTATCTTATACATAATAGAAGGTAAAACACTATTGATACTGTTTTACCTCGATTTTCATATATATTTTGCGTATTGAAATTATAATTAAACAGTAGTAATACGTATTAGTAAATTCTTTGAGAAAACATAAATTATTGCTAATTTTTCTTTATAGCAATAAATTTGGTTTTTTCTTTCTTTTTTTTTTACTAAAGGAAAGATAACGTGTGTTGTTCTGCTTTCAAAATGTTTATTTCCATTTATTCCCCATTGCAACAGTTTTGATATAATTTTGGTACATTCTGCATCCTAGTTGGCTAAAACAAAATTGTAAAAGACATTTAGAATTTTCAAGCAAAACCAAAATATGGATAAAGATGAATTGACCAGCTATGATCTATTCATTTACTCGCCGCCCAGAAATCTTACTTTCCTTAATGCATCCATAGAATCCCAATACAAGAAGTCTTTTAAGTATATATATTATATATGTATATATATTATATATGTATATATATATATACATATATATATATATATGTATATATATTATATATGTATATATATATATACATATATATATATATATATATATATATATATATATATATATATATATATATATATATATATATATATATATATATATATATATATACTCTCTCTAATTAAATGTCATTTTAATTTATATTACCATTATATATATATATATATATATATATATATATATATATATATATATATATGTATATATATATATATATATATATATATACGTATTCATATTACCTATTTCACAAATGAACGGAAACCTGTAAGAACAATCGCAGTCATTAATTTCGCTGCTGACATTAACTACAACACAATGTTCCCTGTTCTGCCAGTTGTCCGGGTTGTTCAGGGACCACCAGCTATCCTTCGTAGACAGATTCCGACCGGAACTTGTCCAGACAAATACGTTTTCAGTTACCAGGTCGCTCGCTCCTATCCAAGCTAAGGACACCAACACAGTATTGTACACATGGTATACATATTTTATTTACTTTCTCGAATACAGAGAATAGCGGGATTTAAGGAATTGTAAAACATATTGCAATTGACATTTCGACCACATTTTATACTTTAAACCCAGTTTTGCAATCGTTTATGTACGTCTTTTGGTCTCTCCATAAAAATGTTTAGTACTGATTCTGTTCGGTAGACTCAATTTGATACCTAATGTATAGATGATGTTCGTAGGTTTATATCTACGTTTTAGTTATTTTCGGTATATGAAAGTGGTATCTAATATATTTCAGGTTTCTGGTTAAGTAAGCTTGGCGAAAAAAATATAGTGTTAGAATATATTTATATGTAGGTTTAAGTAGGCTTTTTATCGATTTCCTGGAATCAAAATTGATATTGTACTTTACTTCCCAGCGAATATAATTTAATTTGTGTTTTCGTATGACTGTGTATTCAATAAACTTTATTTGGGATTACATCCCATTTATTTTTATTTCAAAACATAGTTTTACCTGGATACATTTAATTTAGCAGACACCAACATAATATTTTACAATACTTTTTTAATCATTGCTATTAGTTGTTTGGTTCTCTATGTAAGTACAATACTTGCATTATTTGCAATTTTAAAATACTAAAATATATAGGTAGTTAAAACTAGACAAATATCATTTCACAAAATAGTACCACAATGCTTTGTTTCGGATAAATAGGTTTTGGAAAAATATTAATTATTTCTAAGCTACAGATTACAATAAAGATGCTAAAAATTAAACTAAAGCTTTGCAACATCCTTAAAAAATATTATTTAAAAAAAAGTAATTAAAACAACCGATTGGTATAATCTTGAAACATTTTCTATTTTCACATACAAGTCTACAGTAAAATGTATTTCTGCTCACCAATAAGTTTAGCTTCTTTGGTTATTTCCTCAATTGCTTTCCTCTGTTCACTGTTAATCGGCTCAGCCAGTTTGCCGTTATAAAACGTTGTCTTACAGTACTCCTATTAATATGTATTCGTTTTATTTTATAATATACACAGATGTAAAAAAAAATATAATAAAGATAATTGCAGTAAAAAAACTTAATTCTACTAAAAGAGTTCGCATTTAATTTGTATGGTAGATTATAATAAAAGGATGCAACACTATAAATAATGTGTATCTGTACAATTAAAGATTTGTGTGTGTTTACAATGGTACGTTGCCATATGGCTACAGTATGCAATATAGGATAATGTGTGTTTACTTAAAGTTAAAAAAAAAATTACGAAATATAAATTCTTACATTTGCGTATGTCCAATTTTCAGCAAATGGGAAAAATTTGTAATACGTGTAGTTTTCTCTGAAGCTTAAGAAATCTATGTATGAAGAGAATAGTTTTGATATTATTTTACTGAAAGATGATGTGTAATGACATTTTACTGGAGTTTCAGTTTTGATAAATCAGTGTACATGTGACATTTAAGTTTTCTTTAAATTGTTAAAATTCTGTTAAGATTTTTTTTTTAAGTTTTGGCTTTACATCCTACCATGCTAGTGGCGTGAAACTTTTCGATGTTAGTGGCTTGACAGAACTAAATTAGAGTACCCCATCAAAAACTACACATTAATGTAACTCCACTCTTGTAACAGCACTACCGTAACAGTGTTACGTTACCATCAAGACAAAATGTGCAACCACTGTCCAGTCAATATTGTGACATTACTGTCGATTCAAAATGTGTGTCAAGTCAATCATGTGACAACACTATCAAGTCAACTTATGACATCACTGTCTTATTAATATTATGAAGTCCCTCTAAAATCAACCTGACAACATCCGTTCCTTATCAATAATGTGACGTCACTGTCAAGTCAAATTTGTGACATCCACGGCTGTGACGTGCATCTAATGACATCAAAATCACATCAATATGACAACACACGAACCAGCCTCCACTTGACAAATAAATTGACGTTTATTCTTCGGTGAGACGTGTCTCCACCCATCCCTTGTGATCACTGTACTTGTGAAGTACGTCACATCTTCGATTTGCTTCCACGGTAGATAATCAACTTCCTGCATACATGATCAACTTATTTAAATTTGCATTTCGTCAATGTTTTTCTAAATAAATTTTATGAAGGATAAAAAATGAATGTGGTGTTTTGTTTATTCAAATTTCCATTCCTTCAATGTTTTTTTAAATAAATTTTATGGTGTTTAAAATAATGAGGTGCTTTGTTTATTTCAATTTTCATTACAAAAATGAAAGAGGTGTTTTGTTTATTTAAATTTACATTCCGTCAAGGTTTTTTCTAA